TGCTTCAGTGAATTACTAAATTCTAGTCCAGAGAAACTGTATAATTTCAGTCTTCTCCTTTAAAGACCTACTCTAAGATATTTTAACTACGGTCTTCTTGTGAAGACTTACCCGAAGGGATTAAAACTGTGGTCTTCTTGACCACAGTTTTCTTCTTTATGCCCGAAACGCTTTGCGTAATAGTGGCTTTAGGCATTGTATGTACTAGCCCTATCTATAAATCCACCACTCTTTGTAAAATCTCTTGTATGTATGTACCTTACCTAAATAAACATTTGATTTGATTTGATTTTCTTGTGAAGACTTACCTGAAGGCATTGTAACTGCAGTCTTCTTGTGAAGACTTAACCGAAGGTATTGTAACTGCAGTCTTCTTATGAAGACTTAACCGAAGGTATTGTAACTGCAGTCTTCTTGTGAAGACTTAACCGAAGGTATTGTAACTGCAGTCTTCTTGTGAAGACTTACTGGAAGGCATTGTAACTGCGTAAAGGACTGAATGTGGTCAATTATTACCGTCAAGAATAGTTCTGGGACTGCAGTGGGGTCAGTGGCATTTGTCGCTTTGACTTGCACCGGTTTAAGCTGCTGACCAGTGATTATCCACTGAGACCCATAAAAACTGTGTTTGCTAATATTAATTGTACCAGAATCAATCTTCAGTTTAGTTTTTTTATTCTCTCTTGTCCTTAGTGGCTGGAGATTTATTTCAGCTAACAGTTTAATTTCTTATAAGTATTGGTTGTCAGTAGGCATAGGCTTCTTCAGGTTTAGGACTGTACCTGTGAGTAAATAGCCTCCTGCTGACCTTAACAGGTTCATTCCCTGTTGTTTATTCTGCTCAGTAATAAACTGGTAGTAATAGTCTGCCCCTACTAGTAGATCTACATCGGTGAGGCGGTCAAACATTATCTTGCTGTCAGCCAATTTGACTCCAATTTTCTGTAAGAATCTGACTGTTTTCATTAGACCCTTAATTTTTTTTTTAAGATATACACAAGAATTGTTTTATTCTTGTACAGCCACTAGTACGCGTAGCGTTTTGGGCAAGTCACTGGAATACGATCCCCGCCGCGAAGAATCGTTGTTACAACCAAGTACCCATTTTTCTGTCGAGTTAAACAGAGGCTACAGTTAAGGATTTGCGCCCAGTAAATCCTCCCCGGCCAGGATACGAACCCATGACAAAGCACTTGCGGAACGCCAGGCGGGTGTCTTACCACTACACTACGGACACTGAATATAGTTAAGTCAAACGGGATATGATCAACTATTATGGCCAGGACAGGTCTGACATAATCGCCTAGGCGTACTAGTGGTTGGACTGCTGTGTACTCTTGGGGTCCTCTATTTATCATGAACCCTGACAGGTTTAATTTAATCTGTGTTACTGGTTTTAGTTTAAGTGCCACTGCCACTTTCTGCGTGATAAAGGTTTTCTGGGACCCTTGATCATATAGGCCACGAATGGCGATCTTAATCGCTTTATTCTTGACTAGGAGTTAGGCAGTGGGCAATGTTGCATTAACTTGAGATGTTGGTGATTGTACGCTGTAATTTTCTCGCATCTTGCAGCACTGTACTTAGGTGGAATTTCTGTCTTTCACCCTGGGGTTTGAATACTTTGATTTAGCATAGTTGCATAGTGCAGCATGATGCAGACCTCTGCGACACATATTGCATGTGTCCACTTTGGTCTCACAGCTGTTTGCATTATGCCGTTTGAGACACCTGGTGCATCTGTGTAGCTGCTTGAGTCGTCTGACTTGGGTGTCTTTGTTAGGATAACTTGTGCAGTGATATAAATAATGATCTTGATGGCAAAACAGACATACCCCCCTAGTCTATAGCATGTTCAAGGGTCACCAGTTCAGGTGAAACAGTAACTAAAGGTTTTGAGGGATTTGCTTCTTGCATGTTCTTACTGCCTTGTTTCTTCCCCTTTGGTGTGGTTGTTGTTTCTTGGGAGTACTTATTGTACTCTTAGGTCTCACTGATAAATCAGTATTTGACCTACTAGTGTTAGATTGATTGTTAGTACCCTTATTACCTAAAGACTGTGTCACTTTAGGAGGTTCAGTTAAGGAATTTGATGTGGATACTGTTTCTGGAGATTTAGTGTAGGCGGTGAGTGTTTGGTTTGCTTGTCTTTTCTTTACTACTGAACGCAAACCTTCTATGATATCCTGCATTGTCAGGATGGTGTTATTATGATGTATATAATTCATCTTGCACCTCGTTGGACAATTTTCTTTAGATGACAATTTTAGTCGTCCACTCAGCAGTGGGTTGATCCACTTCACTGCTGACTGATTTTTTCAGTGGCTGGAGTTTTAGGCTTGCACGGAGTCAAATGATTGATCTGGCTTGGTTAAGTCCAGTAACTGGTGCACGAGTGATATGATAGCCTTTTCTTTATCATTTTGACTACCACTATTTTGATTTAAAGTTTCTGTTTCAGCTTCAGCCTTTAATTCAGCTTCAGCTTCAGCTTTTAATTCAGCTTCAGCTTTTGATTCAGCTACAACTTTTGATTCAGTGTGATGATCTAACTTAATTAGAGGAGTATCCTCATATTGATCTGGCTCATTTATTTCATCTGATTAGCTGGGTGCTTGATCTCGTTCAAGCATGTTCTTATAGTACTCCAACTCAACATGAATATCTTGCGTGTAAGATAACTCAAGATATTCATAATCGGCCAGGTCAAATAGGATTTGCTCCCTCTTTTCAGCTTCAGTATCACTGGCAAGGGCCTTGTTTCTATAAGACTTGTTCATTCTCTTCACGTGGGCAATTTTTTGTTCTAAGACGTAATTTAATTTTCCGCTGATTATGATCAAATGGAGACTTTCGTGTAAAATTTTCATATTGATTAAGTAATTCTACTACATGAGTTTGGAGCGAGATTAGAGAACGTTTAGTGCTCTCTACCAACCTGTCCTCTTAAAAAGAACGTCGCTTTTGGCCGTTTGCCCGTATGGCCGAATTTGGACGTAATTTGAAATTGAAAAAAAAATGAAAATAAATTTGGGATTTTTTTTTCAACAACAGTAAGTTAAGGGTCCTCTGATAGGTTAGGTGGGCAGGAAATTCTCATAAAGTTTCAAAACGTTATGAAAAACGTTAATGTAAAGTGTCCTCTTATAACCTCTGCGCGTAGGCCAGACGACTCAAATAGAAAACGGAACAGAACGTCACTTTTGTGAGTCGATTTCATTTCAAATTACGTCCAAATTTGGCCATAGTGCGCATACGAGCCAAAAGTGACGTTCTTTTTAAGAGGACGGGTTGCTCAGTTAGCCATGATGACTACATTTTTAAGTCTTACAAGGCTTATATAGCTATTATGGACAGCTATGGTACTTGGTCACATACACATGAAGCAGGTATGGTTATTGAAAGCCTAGTACTCAATTTCTACACTGGACTATATAACTCCTACCTCCTGTGGAGGTTTACGTACAATTTAATGATTAATTATATATAGGATTTGAGTGGTACTTTGGAATCCCTACAGGTGGTACCGCGGGTTGTGTAAATAATGAGTCCCACCCTGATTTGGGTCTGCGCAATATTAAATGTTTACTACGCTGTACTGCTGGGCACAGTGCTAGTCTAATAATAATCCTACCTAACTAGGTTGGCTAATAATGGGTTAGGCTAGAATTGTACATTACTCAGTACAATTCCAGTCTAAGAAATCCTACCCTATATGGGTTGGTATATATAATATAGTAATGATAATGTGCAAATTCAGGGTAGTGCTGTGCTTTTGGATTTTGTTTATATTAAAGTGTACACAATTATGGTTACATGTGGCAGGTATTGTACTGCCGTAAAGTTTAATTTGATTGTAAATAGCCTAACTTCTGGCATGATTCTTAGTTACAGTGTTATAATATAATCAATGTTAGTAACTTTTTCTCAACTCTATTATTTGTTTAATGTTTATTGATTTATTAGTGACTCTCACATGAAAATAATGTACCCAATTATTTGGATAATTTTACGTGAAGGTTTGTTCGCAGTTTGGTTGTTTTTTTATTATACGCTTCAACTCTGCAGATTTAAAAACACCACTATTCTTTGCGGATATGACCCATGAAATGACGCGTTAACTTTAGCAGCATATAACTGCACTGCATATTATATTGGTAAATTTTATTTCGTTCCTGGCTTCCCTGTATTGGAACTGTATTGATATAATGTTATAGTAACACTACTGCATGTACTAGAATTAAGAATTCATGAGATGTTACTGATACAATAGCAGTCTATTTTACTGATAATAACTTGTTATACTGATTCTTTTAATTGACCCTTATTGGGATCTAAGTATAAAGGACCATAAAAAATGTTTGATGGGTTCTGAGAACCGGTGTAAGTTTTAATATTGATTCTGGCTCTTTATTGGATCACAAACATGATCCTGGTTCGTAGGACCATAAAAAATGTGGGGAAAATTTTCTCCAACATATATTTTAATACAATCATAAATTAATTAATTGATCTAAACAAACATTAGAGAAGTGGACTGTATAAATTTTAAAGGATAGTTTGATTATTTTCCATGCTCACTTTTTTTGGGCTAAAACTAAAAATATTACAATTATCTAATGCATGTAAATGTTGAATAAATTTAATAATAAAGTTTATCAATTACCATAGTTATAGTTAGTAGACTAAATATTATAACTAAGGAAAATTCTTCTTAGCTGTCGAGCAGTTAATGAGGAATGCGTCAAACAGCCTTCTGTAACCAGTCTAATCATGTCTAAACATAATGGCGTTGTGGACACTTGATTCCCCGGACATATGATCCTCTCTCGTAGATAAACTCCACTTTCTGAATATATTACAATATAATTTCTATATAACTACGAGTATATCCACTACTTTTCATTGAAAGGGTTTGACTGATTTTTGGAAATACACTTATTATGAATTGAAAAATTGCAAACAATATGTTATTAGAATTTATATTTTTCTGCCAACAGGTATTGCAGACGACCCCTTGGAACAAGGTGAAGGTTCGCCTCATATGCGTAGGTTTGACCTTCAATCCTGATGGAGAAGATACTCTTAAAGAGTTTATGAATAAACAAGGTTACAAGCATCTTGTAACCAGAAATAATGATGTCTGGTTTGGGTGGCCGGATCTCTTGAATCAAACCATGAAAAAAAATGAAACGTTTTTGTTGTCTTAATTTTTCCTAATTAATTTTCTCATATATATATATATATATATATATATATATATATATATATATATATATATATATATGCCGTACCTAGTAGTCAGAACGCACTTCTCAGCCTACTATGCAAGGCCCGATTTGCCTAATAAGCCAAGTTTTCCTGAATTAATTTATTTTCTCTAATTGTTTTCTTATGAAATGATAAAGCTACCCATTTCATTATGTATGAGGTTAACTTTTTTTTATTGGAGTTAAAATTAACGTAGATATATGACCGAACCTAACCAACCCTGTCTAACCTAACCTATCTTTATAGGTTAGGTTAGGTAGCCGAAAAAAGTTAGGTTAGGTAGGTTAGGTAGTCGAAAAACCATTAATTAATGAAAACTTGGCTTATTAGGCCAATCGGGCCTTGCATAGTAGGCTGAGAAGTGCGTTCTGACTACTAGGTACGGCATATATATATATATATATATATATATATATATATATATATATATATATATATATATATGCCGTATATATATATACATATATATATATTCAGTTATATATATATATGTACATATATATGTATATATGTATATGTATATATATATATATATACATATTATATATATATATATATATATATATATATATATATATATATATATATATATATATATATATATATATATATATATATATATATATATATATATATATATATATATATATATGTATATATATATGTATATATATATATGTATATATATATATATATATATATATATATATATGTATATATATATATGTATATATATATATATATATGTATATATATATGTATAATATATATATATATATATATATATATATATATATACATATACATATATATATATATAACTGAATATATATATATATATATATATATATATATATATATATATATATATGTATATATATATATATATATACATATATATATATATACATATATATATATATATATATATATATATATACATGTATATATATATATATATATATATATATATATATGTCGTACCTAATAGCCAGAACGCACTTCTCAGCCTACTATTCAAGGCCCGATTTGCCTAATAAGCCAAGTTTTCATGAATTAATGTTTTTTCGTCTACCTAACCTACCTAACCTAACCTAACCTAGCTTTTTTTGGCTACCTAACCTAACCTTACCGATAAATATAGGTTAGGTTAGGTTAGGTAGGGTTGGTTAGGTTCGGTCATATATCTACGTTAATTTTAACTCCAATAAAAAAAAATTGACCTCATACATAGAGAAAAGGGTTGCTTTATCATTTCATAAGAAAAAAAATGTAGTAAATATATAAATTCAGGAAAACTTGGCTTATTAGGCAAATCGGGCCTTGAATAGTAGGCTGAGAAGTGAGTTCTGGCTACTAGGTACGACATATATATATATATATATATATATATATATATATATATATATATATATATTATTAAATATGACCGAAAAAGTAAGATTAATAATTCTAATACGAATTTTCTCAATCTTTCGTACATTACGCTTCACTGTTGGAGGTAAATCAAAAATCAATTCTCCAAAATTTATTTTTATTTCTAGTCTGACGCGACACGGGCGCGTTTCGTAAAACTTATTATATTTTCAAAGACTTTAGTTCACAAATACACAACTGATTAGAACTTACGTATCTCCGATTTTATATCTACATTTGAGTGAGGTGGGAGGGGTGATGTGGCATTAACACAAGACAGAACAAGAGGGGATATTAATAGGGTATTAAAAGTATCAACACAAGACAGAACACAAACAATGGGTATTGAATAGAAGTGTTTGTAGAAAGCCTATTGGTCCATATTTCTTGATGCTTCTATATTGGAGCGGAGTCTTGATGTGGGTAGAATATAGTTGTGCAATAATTGGCTGTTGATTGCTGGTGTTGACTTCTTGATGTGTAGTGCCTCGCAAACGTCAAGCCGCCTGCTATCGCTGTATCTATCGATGATTTCCGTGTTGTTTACTAGGATTTCTCTGGCGATGGTTTGGTTGTGGGAAGAGATTATATGTTCTTTAATGGAGCCCTGTGTCGGAAAATCCGACACCATTTAATAATCATACAGACAGATAATAGCTGTATTGTATAAACAAGTTACCCATAGAAAACGTAACTTGTAGTGGAATTACCGTCTAAAGAAAACGGGATATCATCACCACATACTATTATAATTCACCAGCTATTCTGCTGGGAATTGTTCTTAAATACATTAGTCTTTGGACTTTACCATCATAAAAACATCTTATATAAATTAACTTAATTATCAATATTAAAGTAGAGTAAATGTGACCCTTCTATCACTTTCTGAAATCTGGACAAAGTAGGCCAGGCGTCAGTGGAGGAAGGAGGGAGCCATTGTTGTGTCACCTCCGAGACGTGTGGAGCAAATTTAGCTCCTATCATATCTGGACAATGTCGGCCAGTAACGTCAATAGTATGGAGTGTTAAACAGCCATTGTTATACGAGACCAGAGGCTCACACGGGAGCAAATTCGGCTCCTGTTAATTTTACTTGGACGTAGTGTTATGGATACCAAAGGTGTACCATCTGTCAACACGCTGTCAACAAATCAAGTTAAGTGTTCTTTCCGAAACCCATTATTTATCATTAGTGGCCATTAATGTCATTATATAGGGTGACCCGGTTAGATCACATGGAAGCCTCAAACTAAAGGTAATTAAGCCAGGTCTTCATGTTCCATGTACTGTTTTCTCTGATATACTTGTCATATATAGGTATCTGGCTTCACAGCTAGCGCACTTTTGACAGGTCAAGACGAGGATGCAAGATTTGTGCACCAGTTACTGGGTGATATGGAAGCTACCTCAAAGAGGATAATTTGGTGTCTACACCCTAGTTATACCTGGTGGACTAACCTGCTGTACTATAAGATAAGGAACCTCTTTAATGTATGTAGTTATTTCTGTAGTTTGATTGGCTGCATATATATATTAATTTAATAACCCCCCCCCCTAATGTGTAGAGGATCGATTTGTGAGATTAAGAGATTATTGCGGAAATAGAGTCCACTTATCATTATACAAATTGCTATCGAAGTATATAAATTAACGTAAATATAAATTCATATAAATTAAATAAATATAAATCTCACAGGTCGGTTCCCACACCCTGTTGCTTATGCATCGTTAAACGCCTAGAAAGAGATGTTGTTGTCTTGCCTATATACTGGGTTTTTTGGAGCTTACAGTCCCCAAGTGGGCATTTGAAGGCATAGACGACGTTAGTCTCTTTTAAAGCGTTCTGTTTTGTGTCTGGAGAGTTTCTCATGAGTAGGCTGGCCGTTTTTCTGGTTTTATAGTAAATCGTCAGTTGTATCCTCTGATTTTTGTCTGTAGGGATAACGTTTCTATTAACAATATCTTTCAGGACCCTTTCCTCCGTTTTATAAAACGGAGGAAAGAAGGAGGAAACTAGGACCTGCCTTACCCTACAGAGTTCTTCGTCGACTTGCTTCCATTCTGAGCTGTGGCTGAGAGCACGGTCGACATATGCGTTAACAACACTCCTCTTGTACCTGTCAGGGCAGTCGCTGTTGGCATTTAGGCACATTCCTATGTTTGTTGTCCTTTGTTAACAAACATAGGAATGTGCCTAAATGCCAACAGCGACTGCCCTGACAGGTACAAGAGGAGTGTTGTTAACGCATATGTCGACCGTGCTCTCAGCCACACCTCAGAATGGAAGCAAGTCGACGAAGAACTCTGTAGGGTAAGGCAGGTCCTAGTCAATAACGGCTTCTCCAATGGTTTCGTCGAAGACATCATAAGAAGGAAAGTGAAAAGCCATGCAACCTCTGAAGAGACAACTAACACAACACCTATACCCCCTATTAGACTATTTTACAGGAACTTCTTTTCCACAGCTCATAAAACGGAGGAAAGGGTCCTGAAAGATATTGTTAATAGAAACGTTATCCCTACAGACAAAAATCAGAGGATACAACTGACGATTTACTATAAAACCAGAAAAACGGCCAGCCTACTCATGAGAAACTCTCCAGACACAAAACAGAACGCTTTAAAAGAGACTAACGTCGTCTATGCCTTCAAATGCCCACTTGGGGACTGTAAGCTCCAAAAAACCCAGTATATAGGCAAGACAACAACATCTCTTTCTAGGCGTTTAACGATGCATAAGCAACAGGGCTCCATTAAGAAACATATAATCTCTTCCCACAACCAAACCATCGCCAGAGAAATCCTAGTAAACAACACAGAAATCATCGATAGATACAGCGATAGCAGGCGGCTTGACGTTTGCGAGGCACTACACATCAAGAAGTCAACACCAGCAATCAACAGCCAATTATTGCACAACTATATTCTACCCACCTCAAGACTCCGCTCCAATATAGAAGCATCAAGAAATATGGACCAATAGGCTTTCTACAAACACTTCTATTCAATACCCATTGTTTGTGTTCTGTCTTGTGTGGATACTTTTAATACCCTATTAATATCCCCTTTTGTTCTGTCTTATGTTAATGCCACATCACCCCTCCCACCTCACTCAAATGTAGATATAAAATCGGAGATACGTAAGTTCTATTCAGTTGTGTATTTGTGAACTAAAAGTCTTTGAAAATGTAATAAGTTTTACGAAACGAGCCCGTGTCGCGTCAGACTAGAAAT